GGGCGGCTGCAGGGGAAGTTAGCAAAAGTGCTTCGGATTCAGCGCTCATGGGAAACTCTATGTTGGTCAAGAAGGAAGAGGAGGAGGAGGAGAACCACAGGAGAATCAAGAAACTGAAAACCGAGAAGGTAGGATAAGGTCGCCTTCTTGTGTGTCCCACTCTGTGTGCATCTGTTTGGGGGTGTGGGATGTGCCTCCGGGTGCCTTACCCTTCCTAGTGCTTTTGGGTTCTCTGTGAGATTTCTATGACTGTCATCCTTTATGGGTGCTATCCTGAGTGCAGTGTTTGGCTCTTGCTTCTGCCGCTGCTGCTTCTGCTGCTTGTGGTGCCAGGTTTGAAAGGTCATAGGGTGGGAGGTTCTGGGTGTCCTAAGTGTCTTTTGCCTTGTAAGGGCTCCTGGGCAGCCAGCAAGTTGTCTGTGTGCTTTGACTAGAAGCCTGCAGCTGCACGAGCGTGACTTTCGTCCTGGTTTCTTCCATAAGGAGACTTGTGGTCTGTGTTATTGCTAACAATGTGTCCTTAGGAACAGGGTTCTAGTTCCCTCTGTGGAAAGGAGCGTGAAGGGTTATGTGCATTCATTGTTTTGTTACTTTCCCCGAAATAGTTTTGTCAAAGGATGTACTGCAGGCTTGGAGTGTTGGTCACTTATTTCGCTAACTGTGCTGCCCAAGTGTGATGGTTTTGGTGACTGTGAGGACTCTCCCTTTGCTCTCACCTATTTGCAGCTAGAGTGGAGACTGCTATCACCTGTTTAGCTTGCCTGGGCAGCTGGAAGCTCAATAAGAACTGGAAAACACACTTGGCTGGGGTTCCTGAAATGTAACTCTCTAACCAAAGGGGGCATGGTGGCAGCAGCGAAGGGGAATACTAGAAAAGTGTGCTGCACTTAACAATGCTTGCCTCAGGCCATTTGGACCCTTGTACCGCTCTTGGTTGTTGTCTTAAAGTCCTGTGGTTAGACACTCCTGAAGAAACTGCTCCCAGTGTTACCTTGCTTAGGCATGGAGGCCTGGGTCTTGCTTGTCTGGGATGCAGATGCTTTGGGGTAATGTCTGGCAACCGATGGGTCTGTGTCTACCAGGAGCATTGGTTGGGAGGTGAGAGTGGTGTTTCTATGAAATTCATCTTTAGATTCATCCCACAAGTTGTAGCATGCAGATGTAGTATTTCTACCAAGTGGTTGTAAGCAATGTGATTTCTTCTAAATGTGCTTATTATATGATGTGATTTTTTTTCCCCTTTCTGTCTTGATCAGAATTGTAAGTTATGCTAAGAATCTCCTGGGAATCATTTCTGCATGGAATGGCTCATAGTTCTCTGATCAGTTTTATTTTCGGCTTCATGTGCTAAGATTTAAATTACAACATAGGAATAAAGTTCTGATTGTAGACATTGATGGAGATAGAGAAAGGTGTAGACAACAGAGTCAAACTTGCAAAAGACCACTGATTACTTTTTGAGTCTAAATCCTCTTAGATAGCCTTTTACGTTGATGAATCTAAATGAACTTAAAAAATAATGCTCAGGTTTTGCTTCTTAGTTTAAATGTGTGGTTTCACATAATTTCTACTAAAAGACGTTTTGAAATCTTCTTATTACTTAGTACAGTGGGGCATTTACTTTTGTTGCCAATAGCCTTCAAATTGCAGCTCTAATCTGCTTTAACTGTCTGGATGAATTGCCCTAATCCAGTGCTCACAATGCTGTGGTTAAGGAGTCAGAGCTGTTTGATTGGATCCACTGGCTGCTGGGAATGTGGGAGGTTCTGCCCTTTTGCATTCCCCTTAGCCTTTTAATCTTCCAGCCAAATGTTCACATTCAACAATTTTGTTTAGCTAGCGATCGGAACATTTCAGGATCTCAAAGGCTGCTGTCATGGCAACTGAGATTAGTGCGTGGTGTTGGTTCTCCAGTTTTTGTGTTTTTTTCCCTTCCCAGTCACAGAGGGAAGTGGGTGAGGAGTGGAAGGACTAAATTATTCACACACATGCAATGCATCTTCAGGCAGAGCAGTATAAATGGAATCAAATGAATTCCATAAATGAAGAGCAAACAAGTCATGGTAGGGGCCGAGGTGGGGAAGGGAAGAGAGACGCTTCCTGCAGAATGGAAACTGTGCACCAACCTCAGCCACTAGAGTTGGCCCAGAAATCCTCTTAGGATGGTTTCCAGGGGCCTGTATCCCACAGTGCTGGCCACTCTTTTCAAGCTGAAGTGTTGGCTTGAGATCTCAAATACAATTCCTTAAGCAATGTCCTCCCCACCCCCTAAACGACTTAGTAATATGTCCATCCTTGGCTCTCAGAGATGGCAACTCTCAGGCTTGAATACCATGCAGGAAAGCAAACCTAATTCCACTAACTACTGGTTGTGTCAAATTAGGCCTTGCTTTAAAAAATACTTCTTAATGGCAGGAAAATGCCTGTTTAGGAAGCAAAAACTTAGTAGGGCTCACTTGACTTGAAAAAACAAAACTTCATATCTGAAGTTTTTTGGTTTTTTTTTGTTGTTGTTGTTGTTAACATTCTAAATGTTTTAATTCAGCATTGCTTTAAGAACAAGGTTATTGAAGAGCAAGTGCCCCCAGGGTAAAAATGATTAACTTGCAGCAATTATGTGTGGCTCTTGTGTGTGCAGGGGGAACACGTTAAAAACCTAATGGTAATGTGTGTGTTGTATTTTTTTTTTCTTGGTTGGAAGGTCAGACAAGATTCGTAAGACATGCTGTCACTGGTTAACTTTCACAGCATCCTTAAATGTCTATTTTTGGTCTGTTTCTTCTGTTTCTTCACTACACAGAGTCATGTAAAACATGATAAATTGGACCTTATGAAACCTAATTAAATCAATGAGTGTTCTGGCTCCTTTATGTGGAAACCACAAGTATGTTGTAAAAGTTGCCACTCCCTTAATACATGAAAAAAAATCAAAACATGCCATAATTCCAAGATGCTTGAGCTATATTTCTATAGCCTATTTTGTGGTTAAGCCACTAGTGACATGTCTGGGTAAGTAGATTTGATGGGTTGGCTTTTGGTTGCTAAAGCCTGTCTCTCCACCTTCCTTCACCTTCCTTTCAAAGCGTAATGGTCCTACATCGAAGCTGTTTCCCTATCTCCCTCCATCATCTTGCAGTTTAGACTTGGCAGAGAAGGAGCCATTGGGCTGAATTAAACAGTTATGTTGAGTACTGTTACATTCAGTGGGGTTATTCAATCACTAAATGTTGGGAAACACACAGGAAAAAGACCTAAAAAACAGCCAGTACTTAAACAGAAATAAATGAGAGGCATGTGTCAGATAGTTGTGTCTTAGGGTTTCTATGCAGTATGTGTTCCAAGGAGGGTCACTTCTGTGATATCATAAACTGTTTTCATTTTCATGGGCCTTGTCTTTCTAACGGTGGTGTTTATAAGTGGACCGGTCTATAACAGGACATCATTCATTCGGTTTTATTCTCATTGTAGAAGCCTTTTTACACTTCACTAGGGAATCCTGACACATTCTCTAAGTGAGTGTGAGCAGTTTAAGAACATGTTTTGATTAATGACTTTTGTGGGTATTGCCCCCCCCCACCATAATAGAGTGTGTCCTGTGAATTAGGGAGTGCATTTGATCTAAGGCGCAATGAAAGGGCAGGAAGGTCACTTGCTTTAATGAAACAACTGAGTCCATTGTAGCTGGACAGTGCACTGTTTTGAAAGTTACATGTGGATTTAGCTAAACGTGGGCTTTCTGTCATCGCTGCTTCTCCTCCTTTTCCAATAGACATCCTGGGAGGATGGCAGAGGGGCTGGCTGTTCAGCTGTCTCTGTGAGAACACATGGATCTTGGAGTATTTGTGTGAGTGGTCAGGTCCATCATTGAATTCTGTGTTTAGCATTTGAAATCTGTTAGGTTTGCTGGAGGAAAAAAATGTAGAAGGATGCACAGATTGAGCTAAAGAAGGTGATGTTCAGCTGCTTTAATAACTTGTCAAATAGCCTGCAATACAAAGCAGGAGAAAACCTGGAGGAGGAGTGGATGTCCAAATGTCCTAAGGTTGGGAATATGCTCTATAAGTGAAATTGCTTGGGTGCAAGATGATTTTAATTGGAGTATTATAAAGACTTATTTTTTCCAAGCAGCATTTTATAGTTAGTAAATGAAATGAATGCCGAAAGTGCTAAGCAGAAATCTCCCTAGCCACAGAGGTGTTCAATAACCAGATTCAAACAACATGCAAAGTACCATCTGTTCTTCATTTCCATCGTGAAACACGGGGATTGAATGAATGGCTGAGATTTGCCCCAATTTCGACGATGTCTGTGCTTTTTTTTTTTTTTAATTTAAAAAAGTTCACCTGGTACTTCATAGAGAGTTGAAATTGCAGTAATACGAGCACCATTGTGAAAACACATGTTCCCACATTTCTTTTAACCAGTTCCACTTTTATTTGGAGGGTTTCCAGAAGTTCAGCCATTGACCACTTCCTATGGGTTATTCCGTCTCTACAGAACTGACTATGAGGGGGTCAGTTCTTCAAAGATCTAAATGATTCTGTCAATTTTCTTCCTGGAGGCTACAGGGGGAAAGGCTCCCCAGGGCTGACCCTGGTCATCACTCTTCATTAATCTAATTTTGGGTGATAGTGCCTGGGACTGGTGTTTACAATACATAGGCCATACTCTAGCATCCTTGATAAGCAGCAACATACTCCTTTAAGGCTAACTTTTGAGTCCTTGACTCTTAGACTCCAGGATTCTTGGTTCTGGGCTTAGTGGGAACCCTGGGTAAAACATTATCCGGCCTTTGTTTGAGGTCTTTTATTGAAGCTAATGACTGGGCTTGTGCCTTCCTGAGATAAATGACATTATCTCTGAGTGGGCTGACAGGAAACAGACATGTTAATGGTGAAGCTGCAGGGGAGTATCTGCTTGGGTTCTGACAAAGGAGTGGAGAAGGGACCCCTGGTTGTGGTCATTAGCACATAATGCATTCTTGCTCAGTCTAAGAGGCCCTTGATAATTGGAAAGCTATTTTAGCCACAAGCACTTAAATCATAAATTTACTACTTCTGGTTCCTTTGCTTTTTTTTTTTTTTTTTTTTTTTTTAAAGAGTAGCAAAGTAAAGTGTTTTTGTTAAGA